CTGTGGTGTCTTCCTGCAGACAGCCATGCCCCCTGTCATTTGCAGAAGCACAGCAGGAGTTGGGCGCAGCTGATGGCCGTCTTGTCAGTGAAGAAGTTGTAGAGCAAGTTCATACCCAGGTGCTGACGGTCTTGGAAGGACATGCAAATACGTATAGGCATTGTTATAGCCTGGGATGGTAGGGGCACACCTTGCACTCACCCACAGGAGCACGCTGCAGAGCTTCTTCAGCATTTATTAAGGTAGCAACAAGTTGTTATTCTCCCACATTGTCATCAATAGGCCTCTGGGAATGTTTAGAGTACGAAACTGGATGCATACCATGGTAAACTTGGCTACAGTGCTGCTAGCGACGAGGCGCTTGGCAGGTCGTCACGGCGTGGGCGGCAGCACAGCAATTTGAATTGCACAATAGCCGCAACAGCGATTCATCAGGTGAGCTGCGGAATGCAACATGTTGGTGAATAGCATTGAAAGAGACTGGCCTTTGGTTTTGGTTTTGAAACTTTTGCAGAACAAAATGCCTTGATTCTGAGGGACGAGGGCTGCCAGGATGCCGGACGATAATTGGCTGACGACTGAGTCTGCACAGTAACAAAAGTGGTATGAGCTGGTATAATGCTCAAGCTTTGGTTGAGAAGCAGGTGACTTGCCCACTGTAACCACTTGTCGCACGTGTTGTGTCTCTCCTGTCCTGAACCACTCCCAATTTAGAAGATGGGCGCAAGCAATTTCAGCTGGACTAGCTTCAAGTTCAATTCCTAATCTCAGTTCATAGTGCACTTTGATTGTGTAGAGCTAGGCAACGAAAGTTTTGTCAGAAACATGGCAAGTCATTGCTGTACAAACAGGTATTTCAGCACATTGTTGATAAGAAATGCATCAGGCAAAAGGCATCATCAGTCCAATTACCTTGTGTGACAGGTTGGGCATTGCAGCAGAAGGCGCTTCCTTGACATTCAAGTATTGTGGAAGTCAGAGTCTTGCACAATAAACCTCACATTTCAGAAACTGCTTTGCCCCGTGCTAAAATGACGTTTTCGTTCGTGTTTCTAGCTTGTTGAAAGTACTGAATGCTACAGTCCATGCTTCAGTCCAGCGGCCTGCACACGTCGCAAACGGCTGTGTCAATCTGCGACCATTCTAAAATGGTATGTGTATGCCCTGCCCAGGAGTGGACCCACCTGATCATGCCTTCCCTCAAACCTCGCCGCCTTCGTTGCTGTCTTGCTCCACTTCAGAACCACTTTCCGACCCAGAGTCGTCCCCGTTGTCGCCTGAGCTACATCCCAGGATAGTGCTGCCTCCTCTAATTCCTCGCTGTCTGCTTCTGGCAGGTGCTCATCCCAGTCCTGCCACTCATCGACCTCTTCCTCATCATCCTCCTCTCCGTCGCTAAGCCTAAGCTGGCCCTCTCTGTCAACAACCTCCTGCTGCACTAGGATCACGAACTGGTCCTCTGCACCCTCCTCCTCCAAGAAGGTGGGTCGGATGCTCCTTCCTTGTCGCTGTTCACCACGATAAGCTGCTGAAGTGGCACCGCTGGAGGGGTGACCGTATTCTCGCAAGCTGCGCAGCGACAGGAAGCTGAACATGCATGTCCGGCAGCACGGCACTTGCACTGCCGGTTCCTGCACCCAGTTACTCTGCATCCACACCCCTTCAAAACGGTTGCGACCTGCTCCTTGATCTGCTCAATCCTCCTTTGGTAGTCGTATAGCAGCTCCAGCCCCCGTTCGGTTTGACAGTACCCGTGGGCAGTGATGGCTGGCACCCTGATTTGGCCATTGCAGGCCTGTTCCCACATCTTCAAGGCAAAAAGGCCTCTTAGGTATTGGAAGTATAGGGCTCCAAATGAGGGCAGACAATCTTCCTCGTTAGGCACCGCCGCCCAGGTCTGCTCCCTCAAGTGCTCCAGCCATTTGCTGATCGCCTCTAGATTGGTATCGTCCGCGTCCGAAAAAGAGCTAAACGAGCGAGCTGCTGAGGGGCTGGAGAACCGCGCCTTGTGCTTGTAAAAGTAGCTGGTGCCGATCAATTTCAGAAAAGCACCTAGAGCCGCACGCTGTTCGCGCGGTACCCCTGCCCATCCCTCTGTCACTCTTTCGCTCTCTCCTTCCCCCACGCTCCGGCGCCCAATTCCACAATTCAGCCCGCTTTCGCCGCCAGCCCCCTCCTCTGCCCGATCCCCCTCTGCGCCGACCTGCCCCGTCACAGACTCGACCCGATGCCGAGGCCAGTCCGCTAGCGTGTTGCCGTCCGTCCCGCTCACGAACTGCGCCTCACTGCAGAGGTTTTCGAACACCTTCACGTGCGGCAGCTTGTAGAAGTAGGAAACGAAGTCGCACCTACTCCAGACGAATAGAGAGGCTCAACCCTCTTCTCCTGGGGTACCGCTCGCAGGGCCTCAAAACATTGCAGCTCGTCGGCCAGACGGTTGACGTCGACAACGTCGGGCACCAACGTGTCTTTTCCATCGGGGCGGCATATCTGCACGTAAACCTGCTTCGTTTCTCCTGAACCCCCTTCTCTCCACTTCCTGCAGTTCAGGAGGCCAACCATGGTGATGTCCGTGTCTGGCGAGTAGATGGTGACCACGCGGTAAGGGGAGACGCGCGCATGGAGCCAGACCCGGGTGTCAGCCTCGGCGTGGTTGCCACGGTAAGCCTCGCTTGGCCCGTCGTGGAACTCAGCTGGTCCCACCCTTTTGACCGCCCGCGCAACATCTTTCAACTCAAGGTCATCGAACCCCCCCGCCACGAGAAACTCTTGACCGACCCGGAGGTAGGGCCGGACCACGTCAGGCATCTGGGCGCTAACAATGTTGATCAGCTTCCGTTTTATTGCTGCATCAGCCAACCATGCTGTAACGGCACGACTGCGCACCGACTTCTGGCTGCGCGCCAAACTCGCGGCCGCGCATTGTCCGTTATTATACGCTATCGACTTATTTGATATATCGAATCACTACACGACACGTGTCCGGGTTACTGCTTCACCGCGTGACCGTCCGATAAGACCCTCGTGCACCGCGTGCGAGGGAACCGTCCGATAAGCTTTCGAGACTAAGCTTATGGCCGGCCGAGCACCGAAGCTTCTAGGCTGACACTTTGCGCTGCAGACTCAGACTCTTATGAGAAGCTTCTAGATATAAGATGAGCTTAGGTATAAGATCTGTGGTCAAGCTTGCATCATGATATA